TCCTGAAATTTAGACCAAACAAAACTTCATGAGAAGAAACACTTGTAGCAAAATCATCCTGTTCAATGATGACAATGTTAAAAATGTATATTACAGCACAAATTTGATTTCAGGTTAAAAAATTTTAACGTAGGTTGATTCTCAATTTCCTTTGTTTTCTAGGGCTAGGAGACATTGGAAAATGAGAATCAACCTAGGTTAAATCAAAATTAACTAGTAACAAATACACAGGGCTGTCATTAAGGTTTTTTAGCAACTGGCCTTCTTAGGGAAAGCTGTGTTAGTGTTATGTTTGATTTATTTTTAGCTCATGGATGATGTAGTCATTCCATGGCACTCAATCATTCAATCATTCGCTCACTCACTTGACTCATTAATTTTTTCATTAAACTTGGATTAAACATAATTTTACTCCTACCTCCCCTAATAAGCATTGGTTTTCTTCCAAACACATTATGCACATATGTTTTACAGATTCTAGCAGGTACTAGAAAGGCATATATTTTTGCCAGATAACATAGAGTATAAAATGAGTAAATTTTAATCCTGGATAAGTACTAATCAGCCTTTCAGGAACCAGGCCCAGGTTATTTTTGTTTTTCTTTTGTTTTTGGGTATGGTAATATAAGCTAATGAAGTGGAAATAAAGAAAACTAAAAATTACCTGAGATAAAAAGTTAACTACAACATATTTGGGAAAACGGACATAAAAATTGTTCAAACAACATGAAATAATTGATTTATTTTGTACCAATTTTTTATGTACATTCCTTCCCAATAACATGAAGAAGATGCAATCAATTTAGTGTGAAAGAGCTATCGCATAATAGCCACCTGACAATGGCATTTCATTCAGTGAAAAGCTAATACGATGACAAACCCTAGCTGCGAAAAATGGACCCCAAATTATTAAAGCGACATTAACGAATCCACTAATTCACTATTAGTTGTAACTCAAACGGATTACATCACAACTATCAAAACAAAACAAAATTCTCAAAAGAAGAATGAAAGCCCCATTCAGCTTAAAATTATATTTATTTAACTGTATCACAAGTTCCCAGTATTACTTTGATTATTGAACTGCCCTATCTACACTTATCCAATTTATCTATGAGCTGGCTAACAGGAGCCTTTACTGAATGATCAGACTAAGGGTAACCGGCTGAATTAACTGCCATGTCCGGTTTCTAATGACAGCCCTATATATACACACACAAACAAGCAAGACTTCACTAATTCTAACAAACCTGAAAGCAATTCTGTGAAGTTCCTCCACAACATCTGCACCAAGAATAATGAATACAAAAATAAGTAAGAAAGTTTCTCATAATCAGCTCTTTATAACCAAAAGACACAAACTTTATTTCATAACTGTGTCCAGGCAAGTGACGCATTGAAAACTAGCATGCACTGTTGTTCTTAAAATAAGCGTAGTTCACGTTTGAGCAAAAATTCTCTGTCTAGACTTTGACACAGCAAGTGACAAACATACTTATTTCTGCTTGTGTGTCCTTTACTGCAAGATCTAATTTCAAACGCTTGACTGCTTCATCAAGCTGAAAAAAAAGATCAATAAATGTAAAAACGAAACTTATAGGCAAGCCAATCCTGCATATATATAAAAAGTGACTACCCCCCAGCCGTCAAAATGTTAGTCACAGTCAACAACACTCCTTATCTCCCAGACTTCATAACTCCACCTACTTATGAAGTGTTTAAATTCTTTATTTTAGATGTTTGTACATCCCATTTGCTGCTCTTGCACAGATTTTGTACATAGCCTCATTTTTGAACCTAACTTGTAGTAATAAATCATAGTTTGGTTCAACCTTGGTACACCCTTTCTTATAGGAGTCCTCCTTCAGGGCTATGATATTGTACAAAGTAGACTGAAATCAATAACCATTCTCACCTCCCATGGGTAGAAAACTGGGTCATTTACAGCTCCAGCAAGATTATCAACAACAGATTCCCTGAAAAACGAATAAGTGTTAACTTGTAGGTGTAATCCCATAAGTGTTAACTTGTAGGTGTAATCCCATGAAATGCGAGATATCAACTTTCTTTTAAAATAGTCATATGGAAAAATAATGTGTTAAGTGTTTGTTCCACTTGTCAATCAGGCTTCGTACTCCTTTGAGCTCTTCAAATTTCATGACTTTCCATGACCTTTCCCATGACCTTTTCAAGTTTTCCAAGACCCTAGGTTTAGCCGTCAGTCTCAAAAATTTTAAAAACTTTTCTTGTTTTGGGGCATTTTTTGACCCTCAACAGTTTAACAGATACACACTCTGGTGTCCACCAAAATGCATGCCATTTGCGCTGTTTAATCACTCCACTGTATCTTACATTATCCTCGCCTTATTATCTGCAGTAACTAATCTATCAAACAAAACTTAAATTTTCCATGACTTTTAAGGACTGACAATTTAATTCAATGACTTTCCAGGCCTGGAAAATTAAATTCTTAAATTCCATGACTTTCCAGCTTTCCACGACCCATACGAATCCTGTCAATTTCAACTGGCAGGTCATGTACCATAATAATATTGCACAGTATGATTTTTCAGTCAGTGACACAGGTGAATTGACATGAAAAAACTTAGTGCTCTCAATAGACATCAAATCTATGACATTCTGGTTAATAGTCCAGGCCACGTTTGTTCAAAAGGTGGATAGCACTATCCACTGGATAAATCACTATCCAGTGGTTTCGTACTAATTATCTAGGCCTGGTTCCTCAAATGGTTAAGTTTAACCCAGGATTAAGCTAAATCTTAAACAAGGTTTTCTTGTCTAAGAACATGCAACTCGAACTAAAAAGACTGTTGAACCTTTACTCCGAGATACAGTAATGATAACACAAAGTGTTACTCTAAGCAATACATAAGAAGGAAAACTACAAAAACGGAACAAAATTTTAATCCTGGATTAGAGCTAATTGGCCTTTCAGAAACCGGACCCTGGTGGATAGTGATTTATCCAGTGGATAGCACTATCCAACTTTTGAACAACCAGGGCCAGATGTTCCTGCAGTAAGCTATTCTTACCAACTCAATTTTTATATCTTGAGCACAATAAGAGTGTGTAAGAAAGTTGAACATTAAGGTAAACAAAACTCACAAATTCTTGCGAAGACAATCTGAGGAATAAATGAGGTGCTCCCTGTTGCACGTTGCCCTGTAAAAGTAATAAAAATAACAATGAATAACAGTTACTAACTTTTTACATGTATCTAATTACCAAAACTTGCACTTGACAAAACAAGTTAACATTTCTTACTCAAGACTAGCTCCATTGTGTTCCAGCTCCCTTGCAATTCTAAATCCTGACCGCTGTTCATTTCCCTAGAGATAATTATTAATATCATAAATTCATCATTCAATTAAAAGTATAATGTATGTGAGTACTGTTGGACTTCACATAAGTGACTGAATAATATGGTGGTTACTTTAATAAAGAAGGTAGTCTCTTGCAAGAGGTACAGTGTATCAACTGTAATACTTTGATTGGAAAACTGATCTAGGTACAGTGGATCATCAGTTAACAAAGGGTTAGGGGACTGGCAAAACTTGTCTGCTATAAGACGGTTTAATTAATATATCAAGGTTCTTTTCCAAACTAATACTACGGTAAAGAAAATCATTTGTTATACCAAAGACTTTAAAATACAGAGGTTTGGTATATCGAAGATCCAATGTATTTTCGATAGGCAGTCACTTATGAGAAGTGGTTGCAGGTGGAGGTTTGACAGTATTTTGTACTGAAAATAAAACAATTACATTGTACCCATTATTATCAAGTTTTATGACCACTGTTATGTTATCTCTGTGTTGTAGTTGTTGTTATTGCATCTTAATCAGTAATGCCACCTGTTTATGGGAGATGGAAATACTGAGATTAAGTTTTTGTTGTACTGACATCAGTTTCTTATTGAAGGACACTCTATGTCAGATTAAGACTCCCACGTAATATTATAAAGTCAGGTAAGACATTCCACATAACCCAGCAAATTACATGCACATGGACTTTCATTTTTCTTTAAACAGAACAGTACATTTGCAACTTGTGAAATCCACATCCACCTACCAAGAATGCAGCATTGCGTAACAAATGAGTAATCCCCAATGTGTTTGAGGTCTCATGGCGACTGGCAGCATTGATAAATAGCCCTACTCTACTCTTTGGTGAATATGTTTCCAAAGAAACAACCTTGAGACCATTTTCTAATGTGGAAACCTGTCAGAAAGACACATTAAAGGAGACTATTTTATTTTGAGGCGCAAATCAAAAAGATAAACACCACTACAGCTTTTGACCAAAGTAGAAACAGATTCTAGGAAGGGCCTGAAATCAAAGATATCCATTCAACAACAATTACAGTAGATAATTATCAGAGTTTGGTTAAGTTTAATAATCACTTCTCCAGGGTGCAAAGAGAGTCAGTTTTACAGCCTGCCATTAGGGCAAGCTGTAGTTACCTGTAGCATGCACTAGCCCACAAGTCATTTCAACTAGGCCCAAAACCCTTTTTGATTAGCAGGATTGATTACAATCCTTCTGTAATTTGAATTTCCCCAAAAAAGAGCACTTGCCCATCACTTGCCCGTCAGGCAAGTTGAGAACAAAAATCACTAGCCCAATAGCAAAATCCACTAGCCCCGGGCTATCGGACACCGCTTTCTTCGTACACTGCCTCTGGATAAACCATTGCAGTTAGTAAAAATTGTGACTTTTGAATTTTGATTATTCCAACCAAAAGCTGTCTTACAATTTACATTCTTCTGTATATAGATTTTTTTAATCTATTCATTTTCAAGCCTGCGGTACAAAGCTGGCAGTTTTGCTGGAAGTGAAGCTTGGGCCCTTCCCTAACAAAACCACCAGCTACACAGGCTACCCTTTTTCAATCAAATGTAGGTAGGACCCAAGCTTCATTTAAGATTTCATGTAATCAGGCTTTTGTGTTTATGTTTACTTTGGGGATCTGGATGGAAGTAAACTGTGCATGGCATTGTGGCAGTTTTTTATGCATGTGGACATCATCCTAGTGATAGTCAAGATGTTTTATAATAGGCAGGATAGCCAGACTAGCAAGAGACAAAGGCCTAAACTGCTATGGCATTAATTTATTTACATGTAATGCTATAAAACCTAAAAGTTGAGTGGGTTGCAAATTAATATTCTACTGTATGAAGGCTCCTTTAATGCAGACTGATCTGTGGCAATGTGGTTATAGGCCCGAGACCAAACTAGGGTCAGACAGATACTTGTAAAGGTGAGTAATGCATTTCTACCAGCTTATTATTCTCAAAATTATGCTCAGCTGAAGTACTATACTGCTAATTACATGCACAGTATGCTGGACTAAAACGACATTTCCCCCTCTCCCATTCCAAAAAAAGAAACATTCCAAAACAGTCCTTGACATTCAAGGCTGTCATTCACGTTTTTAGTCGCCGGTCTCTTCACCCACAAATTCTCCTTGTAATATTTGACTTATTATTTAGAAACTTTAGGTAGCCAGTTGATTTTACTGCAGTAGCCCATTAAAAAAGCCAGCTATCGGCTACTAATGACAGCCATGGACAATAAACATGCGTGTTTCTTGCATGTAAATCCACCATAATTATTACACACAAATTACATGAGAAATACACGCACAAAACATACCTGTAAAAATACATGACAAAATACACATAAGCTTATATGAAATTTTATATCTTTAAAAGCGTACCAAATTCAACCTCAGCCTGTGCCGTCAAGGAATTAGCAACATTGTTAGTCAATAATTAACCTTAAAAACATGTATCTACAGTTTGGTTAAACTAAAATGTTTTGGAATGAATATCTGCTAAAAAGTTGTTTTTTTTAATTTCATGAGGTAAAAAGCTGTTGTTGTCGGCCAAATAAATGGTCTTGCAATGACTTAATAAAAGAAAACACACAGTACACTGCTGACTACAGTGTATGAAGTAGACTCTAACTTTTCTGTTCCAACTTACAAAAAGATTCTTTCATAGATTAGTAAAGCTGGTTTGAATGTGAAAAACATGATTCAAAATAATTTGCGTTTTGAATCAAGACCTATTAGTTAATATCGAAATTTAAATGTGAAGAGACTGTGATCAATTAGCATCATATGATTTCTTTTAGATCTGCCATCAAAAAAATACACATAGCTTGTTTGAGGAAATTTCCCTGTGATTAATACATGCATCTTGCACGTAATTTAAGCTGCATGTAAAATTTTACACAAACAATATTATTATTGTTCGTGTAAAATTTTACACGCATGTTTTCGCTGGTATTCTGCATATAAATCCACCATATTGCATGTAATATACACACGTGTACATGTAAATGCTGCAATTCCCCTGGCCTGTACTGAAATCATACCTTCACCATGCTTAAATGCACTGGGCCCGACCAAATAAAATTTCAAAGGGAAAAAAGTGCCTTTCAGTTACATACTTACATTACCGGTACATTCCTACATTATGCATTTGGTTCAGCTCATGAGAAGTTTGGTGTCTGAATAACCACCGGTCCACAGCCAGTATTCCCAGCTGAGACAGGGCGTGAAGAATGGCTGAGCCAATCCAAATTCAGTTAGCAGTTTCACATTGAATCAGAAGCTGTACTTCATATGAACTTAATTCAGTGAGTATGATTTGGCTCATGTGAAGTACAGAGTCTTAACAGGTCATTTCAGAGTTAGTAGCTGCATTAGCTGTACCCCGTTTGTTTTCCGAAATGTTAAATGTGTTTACGCTTTGCTCTTTCTGTTTTCCTGACAAAGTAAAGACCCTTGCTACCTAATCAATCGTTCTGGGGGTGGGGAGTGGGGGCTTAAATATGTTACAATTTCACAAACCTGGACGGTCTGAGGAGCAAGATCAGCCTGGTCCGCACTTCCCGTTTGTAAATCCGATAAAGGCTCATTCAAAGGAGAAGCTGCATATGCATATAGTCTCTTCTACAGTAAATAAAACCGTGAAAGTAAATCCATGATGAAAAAACACCACTAGAAATCGAATATAAGCTTACATAGGTTAGTTGTATAAATATTACACTAGTAAACGCGAACACTATACTCAGTTTACAATCAGCTAAATGTGAGAAGAGAGCAATAGATCAAGGTATAATAGCATTTTCTAACCAAGGGTGACGCTCTACAGCTCAAAGTTCTCGAAGCTTTTGGTACACTCTTCCATAAAGGCAGCATTTTCACCGCTCTATCCTCTCTCGCTGTTTCTTTCCAGAGAACCGGTGTACAGAATTAAGACCATAATATTCTTTAACAAGAACCCGCTGATCAAAAGTAATGGCACATCAGATTATTGCAACTTCCGGTCTGTTTGTGACGCAATCTCACATCCATATAAGGGCATTGATCGTGATCTAGGCGGCCATTTTTACCGGATTTATCTTGGTGTGTTGAGGTCTCTTTATCGCGTCTTTTTTGCTATTATAGTCGTGAGTTTTATGAAAAAAGATGAGTTCTAAAGGTGTTCGTAAAGATTCTGTCTGTCTCTGTGTTGTCTGCTGCGAAGACGTCGAGTTCTACGCCGTTGGATCCTGTGATCATCCAGTCTGCCATAAGTGTTGTGTTCGAATGCGTGTCCTTTGCAAAGAGACCTACTGTCCAATTTGTCGCGCTGATCTGATTCAGGTAAAAGGGTTCTTAAGAAACAAAAATACTTAAATGTAGCAGGATTTAACGTTAGGCTCAAATATTTATTGTAAGAGGCTGTGTTTAAAAAAACAAATCGTTTTGTTTACCACCTAGAATTTATCTTTCGCTGGGGCTTTTTTACAGGTACAGTGTAGCAACAAATAAATATGATGGGAAAGTATCCTGGAAAGGAAATCAGAAAAGCGATTGTGGTTCCTTTTTGTTACTAATTGAGCTGGTTCTAAAGTTTTTGTATTTTTGCCGCGACATCATTTTGGACCCGCGTGTTAAAATATGCTGATTAGTATTTTATTTTTATAAAAGTTCATTCATTCTTAAAGTATGGCCTCTTATGTTGTGAGTGTAGCTTGTATGTATTTCCTCCCGTGTGTTACGTTAAGTGATATTATGTACAATGTACAGTCATGTATTTTGCTGTAATGCTGGCAGGAAACATTCCCTTTTTATCCCCCTCAAGGAAGTGGAGATGGATTAAAAAATGGGCTGTGTTGCCGTTGTGTTTGCTTTTTTCTCTAAACTGTATTATTATTTTTTGATGCTTAGGTATTCCTAACTCGTGAAAAAACCAGTTATGACAAGCTTCTTGCAAGAAGGAACTCCTTTGTTAGTGACAAGCGTCCGGGGATTCTCTACCAGAATAAGGAAATCAAAGCAAGTGTAAAACAGCTTATGGAGCATCGCTGCCCATTCTGCCCAAATCGTGCACCAGAAAGGTATTTTGAACGTCTACGGGACCATGTGAAAAGGGAGCATGGAAAATTTTATTGTGATCTTTGCGTCGCTCATTTACGGAAGTTCAGTTTTGAGTTCAAAGCATACACTCGATCAGATTTGGCCACACATCGAAGAATTGGCGACAAAGATGACAAATCGCACAAGGGGCATCCCCTATGTGAGTTTTGTGATGAGCGCTTCTTGGATAATGACGAGCTGCACAAACATCTACGAAAGGATCATTTTTGGTGTCATTTCTGTGAGCGTGACGGCAGTCAGGATTACTTTCCCAACTATCAAAACCTCCGCATCCACTTTCGTGATTTCCATTTCCTTTGTGAAGAGGGAGACTGTGTTAATGAAAAGTTCACCTCAGTCTTTCGTACAAAGGTTGATTTTCAAGCCCATCGTGCTGCAAAGCATTCTGGGAACTTATCAAAGGCACAGGCTCGTCAAGCTCGTCAACTTGAAGTGGACATTACATTTGCTCCTCGTCCAAGACCTCAGGCCAATCAAGGTGCCATTATAACTGGCAGAGATTATGCTGAGGTTAGGGCCTCAGAGCAGAGAATTAGAAAAAGAGATAAAGGAGTTAATAGAGGAAGTGCTTCTGCAGATAACAGGTGTGTAAAGATCTCACTCTTATCAGGCCCACTGATAGTGTGTGATAAATGTGTGAAATTCCCAGAAAATCACATTATAAGGCAAAAGAAGGTCTAGTTTACAGCAATTCAAGCATTTTTCCTGGAGTAGATTCAGCGTAAGACACTTACTGTCATTAAATTCACAATGACACTAGAAAGTTTTGGAGGTTCACTTCTACGTGTCCTTGCCTTGAAGTATATATGGCAGTGCTGTTGGTAAGGGCAGTAACCCAGCTGAGGTCTCATGGGTGATCAAAGTGGAAAACTTACCTTACAAGCAGAGACTCTTCTTTCACAATAGATGTGTGCAAAAAGTAGCCTCTGCTGACAACTGTCCCATTTTCTATGGTGCATGAATGACTTTGCTCACTCCATTTTAGACCATACATACAAAGTAATGCGCTCAGTTCCTTATGTTTCTATTTCTTTTGAAGTAAATAGCCGTGAATGCAGATGTTTAAAACATAAGTTATTCGAGTGTATAAAATAAGAAAGGTTAGCATTTAACTTAGTGAGGGAAAACAACTGCCGTTGAAATGTAACCGCAACTCCTATATGAAGATGCTGTTGCAATAAGTCACTAAAAAATGTGAGCTTCATCCATCTTGCAAAGCAAGCACACTGAGTAAACTTGGCACAACATCAAATCAAGCTGACACAATAGCCAAACCAGTCTAGAGCTGGTTAGGAGCCAGAATTAGCTTATGTTATCCGCACTGTTCAGTCATGGTTGCATTGAAAGTGCAGCTTAGTTTGCCTATCATATTTTCTGTAGATCATATTAAACCGTTAAGGGTTGATTGGGTCAAAGTAGAAATGCTTTCAGGAGAGTTTGACACAAGATCAAGAGCCACATGTACCAGGGCTGGTACTTTCATTACGTTTTGAAGCAGCCAACAGAAACGAAGATTGGGCTATACATTTATTAAACATCTCCCAAAAAATTTATTAGTGTTGTCTTCACCTTTCCACTTTGATCAACTGTTACATCAAGTGAGCTCAGCCATAACAGTTGTTACAAGTTACAGCCTTTAATGATAGTTCTGCATGTAGGGCTTCTATCTAGGCACCCCTTGCAATTGCTGGCGGCCTTGAATAACTTTCAAGGAGAGATGTTCTTCGGCAAAGGTTTGACTGAACTGTTAACAGAAGCATTAATGTTATTTTTTTATTGATACAATATTATTTTAGATCGTTATGTTAAACTGACTGCAGAGTACGTGTAGTAATGAAAAGTGTTTTCGTCCTCTTGTTTAGAAATGAAAAACTAGATCTGCAGACTGCCATGGCACTTTCTTTAAGCAAAGAGAATCCCTCAGAGCTGCCATCGCCATCATCCAAACCACAAGAACCAAAAAAGCATAAATCCGAAGACAGAGGCAATAATGGAGAGTTCACTGCAAACATTAATGAAACTGCAGCTGCACTCGCTCACTTTCCTGTGTTAGCTGGTTCTCAGGAAGTTTCAAGTGTAGTTGATAAATCAAAGGAAACCAAAAAGACTACTACATCATATTCTTATGGTCAAGCTGCAAATGCTTCTTCTTTGCATTCAAAAGATGACTTTCCTTCTTTAGAGGCTTCTGCTCAATTACAAGAACAACCTCACACCATACCCCCTGGCTTTGCCGCAGCTGCTCGTCAGCCTCCGTTATTATCAGTGCCACAAAAGACTTCCCGTACGAAGCCTCCTCCAGGCTTTCAAGCCTTCTCACAAATAGCTAAAGGAAAGGTTAAAGAAAATATTGCACCTGTGGAAGATACCACTGTCTCTAAACCGGAAGTTAAGACAAGTAACAGTAAACAAGAGAGAAACCAAATGCTTATTGAGAAGATTAGGGGCTTACTGGGATATGATAAGACCAAGTTTGATGAGTTCAAGGCAGTGTCTGGAAAGTTTCGTAAAGGTGATTGTTCTGCAGCAGAGTACTATGCACATTGCTGCGAACTCTTTGCAACAAATTTCTCACAGGTTTTTTTAGAACTTGTGGATTTGTTACCTGACGAGGAGAGAAAAAATGAACTTCTATCAGTTCACCAGGATGCTAAGATCAAAGCAAAACGTGAAAGCAGTAGCAGAGGTAAAGTTGGAAAGGCAAGCAAAAAGGCCCCTGGGGTGTGGCACAGTGAAGGCACAGCATGGAATGTAGGAATACAAAGTAATGGTGTATCTGAAATGGAATTTCCATCATTACCTGCATCATCTAAAAAGTCTTTACAGCCTAGTTATAAACCCCCTAAAAGTGCCACTGTACTTAAACAAGCTTGGATTAGAGGAAAATAGGTCGTTTTATATTTCATGGGGATTTTGTGTGGAAACAGGAAATACATAATTTTCTAATTACATGAATTTTGTTGAAGCATTATAGTTCTTTGTATTTTGATTTTTTTACAGTGTTTTATCCTGTAAGGTGTTTGAATTATTTTCTGCCATATTGTTTTGTTACTTAGGGGTTTTTTGTTCATTTGAAGGCCACTTTGGCACAATAAAATAAATGTTTAAACAAATTTTGTTGATGACCACATTACATCATTATTCTGCCAAGACATTTACCAGTGGACAGTACACCTTTTGCAGTTCTGTCCAACTGATGGCCTATGGTGATCCTCCAGTTACATAGGACCATAGTGTGTTTCACGTTTCAGATATAGGGTAATGAAAATAGCTTTTGTTTGCACTGTAGGACATTTTCATCTCAAATGCAGTAGCTAGTTGTGGGCTGGATTTTAAACTGTTATTGGATGAGGTCTTTGGGATATCCATGATAGTCATGGTATGTAAGTGTTATCAGCCAAGCCGAGGGCCCAAGGCTCATAACATTATTACTGAGACCTTGATTATTCCAGATATCACCTCTGGATGAGTTTGGTGTAAATAAGTCCCAGTTTACAGCATCCCGTTTTCGCACTAGATTTTAAACTCCCTGGCTCAAAACATTTGATGGGTCATTTCCACATGAGTTGATTCAGTCAAGGCATAAAATAGGTTCAAGTCCTTGGCTTAGAGTGATTTTACTTAACCCATAAGCATGATACTACGTGCTATCATGCACTAATTCCATTGTCTTCTCTTGCTTACTTGTGGCTATTAGCCCTAGTTTTTACTCCATTTCACAGGTCAAGTAAAATTACTTTAAAGAAAGAGGAATATCAACCCCAAGTGCTTCTCTTGTTCATGCACAAACTGCAATTAAATTGAACGAAATTCATTGTACAGTTTTAATGCTTGAGTTCGTATAGAAAAGACCGGTTTCCATGAAAACATACATTAAGGGAAAGAAGATGCATTAAATTCAAATTAGTAGCAGATGCCAGTATTGAGACATGGGAATAAGTTTATTTTCCTTCTTTCAAAGTGTTACAGTCAGTGAGCTTTTAGTCAACAAATCATGCCCATTCAGCTCCTCCACTGGTTGCATCTGCCACAGCTGTACCCCAGTCACTGCTTGGTTGCACATCTTCAGCTCCCCACTCTTTGGGTGCAGGGTCACCCCAGTCCTTGCTTGGGACATCTGCCCAGTCCTTTGTTGGAGCAGCAGGAACTTCACTGCCCCATTCCTTGGTGGAGGCACCCCAATCCTCACCACCAACCACACCAGATGGGACTGCTGGAACTCCCATCTGCTCAGCACCCCACTGGAAATAACAGAAATAAAATTCAAGAAAACTCAAACAAGTGCTAAACTAGGCTTTGGATGCCTTTTATTTAGGTTTGCCAACTTTCATTGACCACTATCAGGACAGCTCTCACCTACAAAAATCTCACAGCTAATAATAACTTATTCTGAGAATTCAGATAGACGGGAGTAGCTCAAAGTAGGGAGAGTAGCATTCCCCTTTTTTCTGCTTTGTTCTCTCATGTCTGGATAATGTTTTGCTAATAAAGACTGCACCTGCATCCTCAGCAAGAATTACATGCATTAGACTGAAATAATTTCAGTCAAACTACTATGGCTCCTTATTACAGACTTGCAGACCCTTTGCAGTTCTAAAACGAAATGCAAAATATAATCTGTACAGTCAAATTACAATGTGGCCAGTCTGTCCAAATATCTCATTTTATTTGGGTATGAATGTAAATGCATGTTCCCCCTTTAATGTAGATGTCCGCAAAGGAGTTTTTTGAACCCTGCGACCATGGGATTGATCCAGAGTGTCCCTAATAATAATGAAAATTCTCCAAACTGATCTCCATACATTTCCTTAAAGAATAAGTTGCAAGAATTTGATAAAAGATCAGAGCAATTTCCCTGAGGTGATCATTTTATTAAATCTCCCAACCTTTTCTTTTTATAATGTATTAATATTGTTAGGGGAAACTTGATGTTGGTCACTCTCGGGACTAAAAGGGTTAAAGAAATTGACTGCACTACTACCAACCTCTCCGGCACCCTGATCAACTGTACCAGCCCAATCACTAGTATAGGTGCTTGCTGGCTGCACCTGTTCTTCTTGTTCCCGTTCCATGACGTCTTTCTCAACCTGACGACGAAAAGAATGAACTGATTTTATGCCACACTTCAGAATACAATAAATTTATTTCCTAGTTTAGGTAAACCTAATTATCATAATTATCCTTGTGCCTTCTTCCAAAATGCCAGTAACTGTTGGTTATTAAAGGAGTTTGTTGTTCCTACCCTGAGTGTGCTGTTGTTTAATTCAATTCAAATTTAGCCCACTCTGGCCTCAAAGTTTTGTTAAACTGACTTCCTATATTGAACTGAAATAGTGATTGCTTTCAAGTGAAAAGAAAAGACATGCAGCTCCCATGAACTGTATTTCTTGATCAAGAAATAAAGCAGCTGCAGGTGTTTTGGGGATAAGGGGCATTGTTCTGTTGTCTTTTCCACTGCTCTTTCGCAGGGACATGCCATTCATGAGAGGACCCACAAGAGCCACTAACAGTCTCGAGAATTGGTTCATACACTGTCAAATGCCTATGTTATTCATAACGCAAAATAAAAAATATTGTTTTTGTAATCATTACATCTTCTGGATCCCTGTAGAAGTACAGATCTGGCATGATTTCCCAAGGATGCTGACGGCTGATGCTACCACGCATTCGCAACACTTCTCTTGCCAGTAACCACCACATGAGACCGACAGAATGAGCACCCTTGTTGTTGCACGGGATTGCTACATCCACATGGGAAAGTGGAGAGTCTGTGTTGCAGAATCCAATAACTGGGATGTTCACATATGATGCTTCAGTTACGGGCTGTGAAGAATATAGTTACCAGTATCAGATACCATGGAAATAGATGCGACACTCCTACGCACCACTCCCAAATTCATGTTCTCAAAGTATATTATTACACATTAGTCACTCAAAAATATTGCACTTCTTGTTTCAAATGAATCAATGTTTTGGCGCAGTCTGATCAGTCATAAAGGATCATTATTCCATTATGCCTTGAATGTGACCCAAAGTTGTAATTTTTAAAAGTTTGGTGAACATGTTTATTTGAGAAGAAACACAACCTTACACTTCAAAGGTTAACAGGGTATTATTTATCAAAGTGTTCAAGACAACATGTTTTCATAACTGAATAGTGTCAATCCTAAGAAGGAAGAGGAGCAGATAAATTATTGTTGGGAGTCTTCGAAAATTTTTACAAATTGCAAAATTAAGTGCCATTAAAAATTTAAAAAGGTACTCAAAACCCATAATTAAAAGAAAAGGAAGAAATCAGTTCTAAATAAAGGCATAATTAACTTGATGTTAACTGCCTTCTATGAACTTGAATGTTTTTTACCTGTTGGTCAGTGCGTGGGTCACAAACAACAAGCAGTCGTGGTTCCTTGAAAGCCGCCTGAATTTGATTGGTAAAGGTACCCGGCGTGAAGCGTCCAGCCACAGCTGTAGCTCCGGTGTGGGATGCAAACTTTAGAATAGCACGCTATCAAATACCAACATAACATAACATTAGTTTGTTTACCCCAAAGTGGCTTGTTGGCCACCGTAGGGGGATTGAGATCCCCCAGAGTCACTGGCTAACCTGCCTTATCAATTCCGTTGATGAACCCAAATTCTTGTTTTTCTGTTACAAAATATACATTATCAAAAAGACTTAAACTGAACATTTTAAATACTTCTTCATAATGCCCAAGATGTGAACAAAATCTCGAAGATCCCCCTCACAAACACTTTGAAAGGCAGGAATAAATAGTCGTATTGTAATTTTATCCAGCTTGGCTTTTTTCCCCTTCTTTTTTGTATACAGTGTGGTTATCTATGTTGTGGTTCAATTTTATCCTTGGTTTAAATTTTATTCTCTTTTGTTCATGGATAATTGTTTCAGACTCATTATCGTACATTACCATGTACGATAATGAGTCTGAAACAATGGAAAATGAAATTTAAACCAAGGATAAAAATGAAGCACAACATAGATCTATGTTACTCAGTTTAAAACAAATGCAAATTAAATGTAACCAAAAAAAGAATTAAATCAAGACACAGACACTGACAACACCGACAAGTATTTAAGCAACCTCAGAAGATGTCACCTTTCAACACAATAATTGTTGCTTTGCACCATCTAAAGATCGTCTCATGGACGCCATCTACTCATGTTTTACAGTACATGAAACCAGAAACAGTCCATTCTTCATATGAGTTACCCTCACTATGAGGATAATACTACAAAATCTATGACTAACATTAGACTTAGGCCAATCACCAATTGAGTAAGCACTGTAATCAGGGTTCATACAGATTTTTGGATCCAGAATTCAAGACTTTTTCCAAACATTTTTCAAAACAATAATTTATTTTTCTAGACCAAGGTTATCAAATGGGTGATCAATAGAGACCTTAAAAAACGCAGGGAACCACGCTATTTTCATGGTGCGCTGCAAATTTACAGCCGAGATTGAATAAGATTTGACCAAAAGGAAAAAAATTCTCTTCCAAAGCACTTGTTAGAGCTTTGAAAAACAAATTCTAGAATTTTTGCCATTTTCCCACACTTAAACTACATTTTCCTGACTTTTTCCAGGTCTGGAAAATTTCTGGGCAAATTTCAAGACTTTTTTCAAGAATTCAAGACACTGTACCAACCCTGTGTAATGTTCTAAATTTACCTGTCCATAAGGCCTGGCAGAAATCACACACACATCAGCAGGATTCTCAATGCCCACTATGATACGAGCTGCAAGGAGCAGCTTCTCCCAAGTCTTTCTTAAATTGATGATGTGAACACCTAGGAAAAGTTTTAAAATAACTCTTCTATTAAATTTATTTTCAGTACTTACCCAGTTGCATAACATACTAGGCTTAAATCTTCAAGAGATTGGGCAACAAACACAGTACTGACACAATGCCTTAGAACCTAACCAATGCAAGAATTTGTACATCAATAAATTTGAACTAGGTGGCATGGTATGATACTTTTTCAACCTACAAGCTTCTGAGACTCTGTATATTATCCACTCTGATTATGCGCATGGAAGAAAAACATCAATCCCTTGCACAAGTTTTTCTTACCATCAGGTTTTCGTTTGAAAACGTAACTTTCCATTTGATAGTCTACATTGCTGGCACCCAGATGGACTCCAGCAGCAAGTAGCTTTGTAACATCTTCTTCCTTTAACTGTAGAGCTTCAATGCCCCCAGACATAATGCTTGGATGTGCCAAAAAAAAGTAACGACGGAACAACCTAGCATTCAAAGATAGATATACAATAAGTACATTCTTGCAGGGTCGTCAAAAGTAGCTGGCTGCCGGCAAAAATCACCGCCTACTTCCTTAGTATCAGACGGCTACTCTGCTTGGCATTTTTTTACGGATGGCATTATTTAAATAAAATATCCCTGGACTAGACGCTTACTTTGACAACTCAGTCGTCTAATTCAAAACTTTCTGACAACCCTGACATTCTTGTAATGGTAAAATTGAAGAGGAGCTCCCCCAAAAACTGTCAGGCATCTGTCAACCGACTGTCGACCAACAGTCTGCCAAAAGACAACCAACAGTCAGCCAACAAACAGCCGACAAGAGGCCAACAGTCAACTGACAAATGGCCAACTGTTTGACAATTTGAGATAACAATGTGAGTTCATAACTGACAAGGTAGAAGAGAGAGTTTCAGTGTCTGTTTTCTTTAATACACCAGGGTCACTTTTAATCTGTTGGTGGACAGTCTAGCGACAGACAGCCAAGAGATTTTTTGAGAGGAGCTGTCCTTCAATTTTACCCTTGTGATAGCATTACATTCCACTTAATTCCTTAATCATATACAAACTGTGCCTTACTGTAACACTGAAAATTGTCAAATAAGTAGAAAGTAACTTAGCATAGCTCTATTTGGTTATTGTACTCAAACTTTGTCTAAAGGAGAGGCTGTCTAGATGGAAAGGGGGACAAAATATTTTTACAGAAAAGCACTCCTGGGAGAGAAAGCTTGCTTTCTGATTCAGATGAATCAACAAGTCACAATTCAAGTTTCGAGTATCAATAATTAACTTGCGAGGCTTTCTTACACACTGTAAAATAAATTTGCCCTTAGCTGTGGTTATGTTCTAGGACGACCTTGTTAAGTACAGAGATCATCCAAGAATGCCATGACACCTGATTTCAGCTGACATTCGAAAGGGGTGATAACGATGATATACACTGCGAAGATCATCCCCTTACATCACCACATCATGTATGCTCGAGGAGATCTACTCTAACCTAAGTTGTTCTCACAGACCTTGCCACAAATTAATTGAACTTAGTTGAAAAGCCTTCAAACCTTAACCTCTCTGTTAAAGAAACATTGTAACGGGACGTAAAGTTTTAATACGCTTAACAGTTGATTCTAATTTCGAAGACCAACCGCTTCACGACCTCCTTATTCCAATTGAAGTTTCAAAACAGCTTTGGTTTAGTCGAACGATAAATTAAGATAAACATGAAGCAAAGCTAATAAATATACGTTTAAGAAGTTTCACGGGAAGAAGGACGTTATTTTATAGACGTAAAACAAAGAAAACATTCACGTATATCTCTTACTCTTGCAAAAGCCACCGAGGGCTGGAAGAAAAGAGATCGATGCAAGGAACCCACGTGGTACTTAACCATCCCAGGGGTGGACCAATGGATTTGCAAGGGCTTTTCATAAAATAAGTAGGGAGGAGTGAGAGGCACTTCTTCACGGCAGTCCCGGAAGGGTATTTCTGGGAATTTGGGATGGGGGTGTGCCGCCTGGTTCTCCTAAACAGACCAAAAATTTGTCATTTTCCACACCCGTTTTCAGACCTGGCCTCTGGAATCGACCCCAACAATTCTGTTTAAAATTAACAAAATCGCATAGATTCTTGAAAAGAATTACTGTCGTATTTTTATGAGAGTTTCTCTTTGAAGCCACCGTAGAGAATGATTCTCACTTATAAGGGAAAGTGAAAGTCGTTCTGAATGCAAGACGGAGAGGAAACAAGAAACCACCCTAAGTACCCCACACCGAGAGTCCTTGAATGAAACATTACCCACTCTACCCTCCAAAGCAATTTTTGGTTGAAATTCAAAATGGTGGACGAAAGTGACAAGATCCTGTGATCTTAGAAACTGTTTCTTCGGCTTATTGGCCAATTTTTGTGAAATTTGTGGTGTTTGAAAAAAGTTCACGATATAATGCAACGAGCTCGGAATGTAGCAACAATCTTGAGACGGTTTGTCAATGATCCAATCTGTGCTGCAAGCAGCCTTCGAACTCAACACTGGAAATACCTGGCCCATCGAAGGCAGATCTACTCGGCGAGGAGTTTATATGATCAGTATGAGGAGCAATATAATACTGTAAAAGATCAAGCCGATAGACTTGCTAAAATAAGAGCGGAAGACGCAGCAAGAAATAAAATTATTCACATGAAGGTGAAGCCAAGTGAAGTGAANAAAAAAGTTCACGATATAATGCAACGAGCTCGGAATGTAGCAACAATCTTGAGACGGTTTGTCAATGATCCAATCTGTGCTGCAAGCAGCCTTCGAACTCAACACTGGAAATACCTGGCCCATCGAAGGCAGATCTACTCGGCGAGGAGTTTATATGATCAGTATGAGGAGCAATATAATACTGTAAAAGATCAAGCCGATAGACTTGCTAAAATAAGAGCGGAAGACGCAGCAAGAAATAAAATTATTCACATGAAGGTGAAGCCAAGTGAAGTGAAATCTGTGAAAGCTGCGTTATCAAAGCACGTTGCATCGTTTGAAAGGGCTGCTTCAATTGAGAAATCAAAAGAAAGCTTTTTTGACATAATCGATGACTTTCTTGCAAAAGATCGCACAAGGAGGGGACATATGGAATTTCTAAAAACTGCTGTGGTTTACATGGAAGAGTTTGGTATTGAGAAGGATGTTGAGACTTATAACAGGCTCCTTGATGTATTTCCCAGAGGGAGGTATAACAATAGGACTCTTTTCGATGCCATCTGGGCAAAGAAGCATCCTCAGGCTGAGCTTGCGCTAGAAATCTTGACGGAAATGGAAGATCACTGGCTGCTTCCCAATGAGGACACTTACGACATTTTATATGAAATCTTTGGCCATGCTAGTCAACCACTGCAGAAGTGTCGCAGGATGATTTATTGGTATCACAAGTTGGAGGAAATGTTCCCCAATCCTTATCCAAAAGTGCTACCTGAAAGTGATACAGAGCTTAGCAAACTTGCACTTACCAGAATGACCAAAGATGAACAGATTATAACTATCTTCAAGGTACTGGCAGGGTTTAATCCTTGGCTGGGTACTCCCTTTTATTTTGGATAGGTGTGTTCCACCAAGGGTCTTAAACTCTGACCCTATTTAAGGATTAGACAAATCATTTCACAAGCACAGGGAAAAGACTCTATGAGTCCCAAATTTGAATCCGTGACATCCTGTACTACTAAAATCCCTAAACTGTTAGCACCCAGAAAAAGTGATCTTCTGCATATATTGAATTTTTGAATAGTTGACTGAATTTCTGAGTGCCCTGTTTGGTTATGTGATTTTCCTTCCCAGTTCCACCATATTAAGGCAATGATAACAGTTTGTGGTTTAAATGCTCTAGAACTGCCAGGATAGAATTCTGTTGAAACAACCCCAGCGGCATAACCAGCTTTTTGACTATTTGTAGGCCTGGCTGACTTTCATTTCCACATATCGTGAAAATGGCATGTATGACTAGTATGCACTGACCTCACCAACACTTTGAGCTCTTAAGTTTTTTAGCTCACCCCAACAATTACGCATAATTTATTACAAGCGGTAGAGTGATCAAACCAAAAATTTGTAGGTCCGGACCTACAGACCTGTGGACTGGCTACGCCCCTGATCTCCACCTCTGCCCGAAATGTTATCAATGATATTAGTGATCTCACATCTTTTGTGGTTTGCCTTGTAAAAAAGTTCTCCTTTAGCATTCATGATCATTTCAACCATTAAAACTGTTGTTATCACCATTCTAAAATTGGGAAGAGTATCATGATGAAACAGGGTACTCAGAATGGGTACGTGAGACATTCAGACATTTTTTTTTCTTCTCGTGGTGCTTAGAACAGTTTAGTGATTTTGGTAGTATGCCAGTGGGGATTCTAAACCTGCAAGCTAAGGGGGAGCGAAAGGCATAGCAGTGATTATGGGATGCCCATAAGGCTAAATATTTGTAAAAGTGCTCTTGCCATTTTATGCTCAACAGTGTAAAATATTTCCATACCAATATTCATATTACCATTTGTGAAATACTGGGGTCAATTTAATAAAGCTTTTATGAGTGTAATTTACAAGTTTAGCTATTGTTTTTACACTTGAAAACAATGGCTACCCTTGTAAACTACACTTGTAAACGTTTTATTGAAGTAACCCCTAACAAAAATAGCAAATGAGAGTATTGCTGACAGACCAAGTTACACATTGCATGACTCCATAATAATTTGTGTGTTCTAGTAAAAGAACCAAGTCAATGAACTATTTAATTTTGGGTTCCAGGACAATACTGATAACAAGGAAAAAGAGTTTTTGGTTAGTGCTCAGACAGCAGACCAGAAGAAATTTTTGAGAAACTACAAGTCAGACAAAGCTTTATACGTTGAAGGACCCTTCTTTATTTGGGTACGAAGACTTCAAAGACATTTCTTTACCCTGAGAGCTGATGCAGAACTTGATAATGAAAGTGGAGAAGGTGAGATAGGGACCCTTGGAAGTAAAATTGGCCCAATGATGTTGTATTTCAGGCAACTTTTTTCTTTGGCTTAAAGTTGTGGCCAGTTTATTTGACCATAAAAGTAATTGTCCATATCATTTTTCTGTTCATTTTTATTTGCCCTATAGCACAGCCAAAATTACATGGTTGCTTCATTTGTAAATCATTGAAAAAGGTATATTTAGCCATTATTATTGAAGGAGGCTGAGTATGATGTGAAGAATCATATTATGCAGATCAAGGAGACCGTTACCTCACAAGGGGAAGGCCTGGAAGTGAGGCTGATTGATGGTCTTTTGCCTATGCAGCGTCATTTCCAGGCAAATATACCATCAATTAACCTCGTTTCCAAGCAAATGTAATATCAAATCAATGCTATAGTGCTCACATCTTACAAATTTGGTCAACACCGGTTGGTTATGAAGAATTAGGCAGGGGCTTTGATCCAATCAGAAATGGCAAAATAATTTGAATGAATAATAATGAATACTATTGTAGAGGGTCTTTACCAAAACGTTTTCTCCTCAATTTTAAAAAGTAGCTCAGACTTGATTTGCCCAAGCAAATGCAGTGCATTTGCTTGGGCATTCTACTTCTCCCTTTTTCTGAGGGAGCTGTTTTGAATATTGAAATGTATGATAGCCATCTTTAAACTGTTTTCTCTTTCTTCAGGAAATATTGTTGCTATTTGTATGAGCCAACCTGATGCCAGTGAAGATGTTCTCAGGTCCTGGATCAGCCATCTGCAGAGTGAAAACCCTGAGCTTGCAAATATCAGTGTTATTTTCAATCTAAGCTCTACACCACGATGACTTCTCAGAAGCTGCTTGGCTTCTCCTCTAAAGATTTTTTCAAGTGTGTGGGATAAAGCCTGGTTCTCATACCGTATGCCACTGAATTGCCTGTGACATAGCTACTGAGACAGTGAAATTATTAATACAGGCCCCACGCAACAGTTTTTCAAGTGCGGGGTCGCTAAACTTGAGAGCGTAGAAAGGCAGGGTATGGGTGATCCAAGGTCATATCAGTGCTTGTTCAGATTGATCTGTTGTAGCTTTTATAAGAATGCTATGATTAAAATATGTCCTCTAACAAAGAACAAATCCATATTATCACCAAAAAGATGAATGCAGTGAGTTTTCCTCTTTTTGAGAAACATCCTGAAATTCCTGTTGCTCTTTTTTCTGCTTTCCAATCCCGGTATGCTGATTCCTTGTTTATCAGTTTACATCAATGCAGTGGCGGATCTAGCGGGAGGGTGCAGGGGGTGCATACCACCCCCCCCCCCCAGGATGACTTTTTAGTACAACTGGTGTTCTGCAAAAAATGAGGATAAGTGTGTATTCTCAACAGTTCACATTACCCTATTACCTATTCAAAAGCCTCTTTCTTTTTGTGTCAGTTTTGGTTGAATGGGGATGTACATAATAATCACATTATCTGAATCATGCAACCAATGTTTCGCAGGGTTTTGTTAATGGAAGGCTTTTTTTAAGAATAAAAAATGTCCTCTAACAAAAAACAAATCCCAATTTACCCCAAAAAAATGAATGCAGTGTGTTTTCCTCTTTTTGAGAAACATCCTGAAATTCCTTTTGCTCTTTTTTTTGCTTTCCAACCCCGGGAGGCTGATTCCTTGTTTTTCAGTTTACATCAATGCAGTGGGGGATCTAGGGGGAGGGGGCAGGGGGTGCATACCCCCCCCCCCCCCTGAGATGACTTTCTAGTACAACTGGTGTTCTGCAAAATATGGAGATAAGTGTGTATTCTCAACAGTTCACATTACGCTATTACCTAGTCAAAAGCCTTCTTCTTTGTGTTCGCTATTAAAATTTGTTTACATCACCAGTCAGCTACGACATTCCTTAGTGGTGTACCCCCTTGAAAAAAAAAAGCCTGGATCCGCCCCTGCAATGTGCCTCTAGGTGTTACTGGATTGCGGATGGGATTATGTAGGATGTTAGCTAGGATGTGTGGTGGTAAACCTTATCTTCCTCTCAGAAAATCTACCTCATCTTAAAAAAAGCCTTCCATTAACAAAACCCTGCGAAACATTGGTTGCATGATTCAGATAATGTGATTATTATGTACATCCCCATTCAACCAAAACTGACACAAAAAGAAAAACCAAAGAAAGAATACTTCATTTTGTTCGGCTCTTACTTTCCACAGCGTATTTATTAGTAACTATAAAAATTGTAATGTCTTCAAAGGTCGGTAAGTTCCATCAGTCTTGGAATAAGAACAGACCAATTAAATTTCATGATTTCCCGTGAGGTGTGTTTACCAAACACTGACCCTGCAAGCAGAGGCTACTTACTGATGATTTTGTAGGACAGTTGATTTTGAGAAAGAGTATCCTCTGTTTACAGGCACAAGGAACATGGCTTCGTTGACGCCCGTTTCACAGGCTTCGTGCACCTTTAAGCGATTTTTGCTGAAATTAATTTAAGCGGCGATTTAAGCTGCAATTTTATGACATTTTTCAGTCGTTATGTAGCAGTTCCGTAGGGTATATGTAATGAAAACTTTAATCGCCTCAGCTCTATGTTTTTGGTAATTCACTCTCACGCAAAAACTACTCATGAAACAGCTGATGAAATTCCTGGCGCAAAAAAAATCACCGAACAAATATACTTGGTACATGGAAACACACTTCTGCCGTTTCGTTTACAAATTAATTATAATGATGCATCTTTTCATCTACAAAATCACTTATCACTTATCTACCAGATCCTTAGTATAGCATCAAATCGAAATCTTAATTTTTGGCGAATAATTGTGCATTTGGCTCAAACAGTGTAAAGAGTGGGAAAAGGCCCCTTGCCCTGCCTCCTGCTCGGGCCCTGTAATATGATCACTGTTGGGCCATATCATGCAGACCTAGTCGTTCGTGTGGGGTGGCCATATTTAACGTAGTAGCATGGCGGTTTTGTCGGGAGCACTACGCAAAAACGCGCGCGAACGAGCGTTGTTCCTGCCCCAATCTCCTCGCGATTTCTCGGCCCTCGCCCGCCTATATTACTGAGGTAACATCCTAAGCCCTTTTAACGGTCTCACATCAAGTATAATAAATTATTGTTTTACTATCAATCTGTCAGGATATCGCACGTATCATTTGGATGCTCATTTATTCTCTTTTAATAACTTTTAATGAATAGCTTTACTACTGATTTATGAGGTACAGTACTTTGCCTTGCCGACCTGCACTGCACGGTATCTACTCGCATACATACTTTTCATAATAACAGCAATAGTACCAAAATTACATTTCGAAAATCCTGGCTTGTTTTCGAAAAACTCAGAAAGCAATTCAATGTGGATTTTAGAACAATAGGTGTTTGCTTCTAAATCACCCTGAAAACCACTTATACTAATCACTTACGCGGCACTTTCTATTGGATCGTCATCTTTGATAACGACAATTAAAGTGTCCTGGTTTCCTATGGTAGCAGTGGATTGAGATGTGCCGTCAAGAGATAACTCCAGTTTAAATACCTCATCCTCTTCGCGGGCCGCGTCGTTGATAATTTCAAATGTAAGAATTTCCTCTATAGACGTAACACCGGCTGGGAAAACCAAGCTCTTTGGAAACTGCGATGGCGTAATTGGTAGGTAGTCCAGAAAAACAGTGGCGTTTACGTCCTCCAAGCTTAGACTAAAACCCAAAAAGAAGCCATATTTAAGAAAAATGTCTTTAAAAAGAGAACTCAACTCAATTCCTGGTGAAGCAAACGATAATAGAATTCTTGGACCCGGTTCAAACGCCGAACATTTCATGAGCCGAACCTACTACTTCTAATAGGCCATTTCCGAGTTCCAAAAAATCTCATTTTCAAAGCGAGGCTAAGTGCGAAGCCATTGATATGAAAATGATTTTTAATTATGATGCAAATAAAACTCATTTTCACAACAAAGGTTTCGCACTGAGCCTCGTTTTGAAAGTGAGATTTTTTGGAACTCGAAAATGGCCTATTAGGATCGCCTTATTTAATCTAGAATTTTGTCGGGCTGGGATTAAGATCGGTGTCTGACTCAATTCAGTCGATCTAAATGATTTGGGTCGGCGTTCATTCGAATTAGGTTCGGCTCATGAAAAGTTCTTGCAGCTGAAGATGAAGAATTATAGCGATTTGAAGGGTTTTATCATACGCTCAGGTAAACGTTGAATGCCCTTCAAATCGTTATCATTCGTCGTTTTCAGCTGCAAGAAAGATAATATACAACATTTCAGGTAAAAAGAAGTTTATTTTGATGTTATATATGAGAATTCATCGCATTATATTACGATAATATGATTATAATTTCCTCTAAATTCAAAGATTTCAACAGACACACAGTTTGTGTGGGATCCCTGTGGTCTGTCTAGAGATAGTGCTGAACTCTATGGTGATTTCAGTCAGTTTGCAAAAAAGCGGCTTATTAAGTTTGCCGTCAGTTGCGGTTTGTGGTGATTTATAAAATTGTGGCTGCGAGATAATATATGAGAATCTTACATAAGGTTAGCAGTTCAATAACGGTTTTCTCACCTCAAATTAGCACCAAACTGGATATTTCCAATATTTTCGATCACAACTGAGATGTCACGACTACCCACAGCCTCGCTTAACGAGACTTTTGCTTGGTTGAACTGGAATATACCACCTAAAAAAATAATTTCTCTTGGCACTTAATAAAAACTGTCGGGCAACACATACTCAATAAATTGTACATATATCTAGATGGATTTTTGAAAACGTTACCGCCAAATAGACCTCTTCCGTCAAACAGTTTTTTGTCCGCCAAAAACTATTTCCAATATGAAAAACCATTGCTTTTTTTTTCTCCTCTCCTCATTTCCTCTTCCTCGCTATTTCTTTTTCTCCTGTCCTTTTCCTTCGCTAGTGTGATTTTCGATCTTATATAGGGCGCAAAAAACCTGCCTTTTGACAATTTTCACTCAGACGGCTGCAAATTTCGCTAGGTTCGTTTTCAAGAGATTGGATGTTTAACAATTATTCCTCGAGCCCGAATGGGCTCTGAGTCAATAGCCCATGAGTCATTAATGAAAATGTTGAACAGCAGCGCCCCTAATAGTGAACCCTAAGGAACGCCAGTTTTGACTGTTTTGAAGTTAGAGCATACGCCTTCTAATGTGACACATTGTTGACGACCCAGCAGGTAAGTGGACATGATTTCCAAGGCATGTGAAGAGAGCCGCCATATTAGGTCTTCAATTTCGCGGGCAGAAGGCGGTGGTTTCTTGCGTCAAACGCTTTGCTGAAGTCTACAGCGAGCGCCCCTACAGCTTCCCTCCTATCAATAATGTTCCTCCAATCTTCAGTCATTTTTAGCGGTGCAGTGCAGCAAGAATGGGTTTTCATAATTCCAGATAAGTTGGGGGACAAAACGTTATGGTCATAAATAACTTTCTCAAACACCTTCGATAGCGACGTTAATAGAAAGCTTTAGCATTGTCGACGGCGACGGCAGCGAAAACGTCACTTTTGAAATGAATTCGCGCTTTTTCAAATTTTGTCGCGCTTATTCCAATTTCCTGAAAATGTCAAATGTAGGAGAATTTCCCTGGAGTTAATTTCTTGGGGACCACACTCAAGTTTTGAAAGGGAAAAAAAATTCGTTGTCGCTTGTCATAGTACGTCCTCCATAAAAGGTGAAATTAGGGATTTTCACGCCGTAGTCTTGCAGTGACCGCAAAGAAATGTACAAAAAAGCGTGATGCATGTGCAAAGTTGTTGTTTTGCTAATCAAACCTTTTGCACCTTTTGCTTTTGTGACGTTCTCTCTGCTGTCGCCGTCGTCATTGCTAAAGCTCCCTTATATTGAGACATGGCGGTAGTTTGCTTTGTCTGTGTCAATCCCCCGTTTTAAGACAGGAGTGAGGCGGTCTTGTTTCCAGACGGCAAAGAGCGATTCAGTATACAGAAACTGATCAAATTAGTCACCCCTTCTGCAAGAACTGAGGATCCCAAACGCAAGAGTCGTGGTGAAATGACATCTACCCCAACTGTCTTTCTCGGATTCAAGGTAGTCCAAAAGGTTACGGACATATGAAGTACTAACTAGGGAGTAATTAAACTCGCTTGAGAAACGTCGGTTGCTTAATGCCTTAATACTAGGATGGTCAGTCTAGTCATTGTCAGATCTATGCTCTACCTGAATATTATTGGTAAAGTAATCACTAAAGACTTCGGCTACACACCTAGAGTCGGAAACAACACTACTGCCGTCAACGAGGATGACGCCTTGTATGTTTTTACCAGAACTAGTTACCAGAAGGGGCTTCATTTTTCTCCAAAATTCGCCCGGATGTTTAGCACTCAAGCAAGTGTCACAGCGGAGCATTTTCAAAGCGTTACGCTTTAGCGAAGTAACCTTGTTACGTTGCCGTTTGTAATCATCCCAAGAAGTAGAGGCAGGATGTCGCTTGTGGCGCTTGAATAATTTGTTTCGGTGCGAAATTTCACCCAGCAAATCAGCTGATATCCATGGCAACTGATCGCCACGAAGATTCGTTTCTTCAGTTTTCCTATTTTGGTTTATTTTTCCATTCGCTATTCCTCTCAGATACCTTTAACTTTGATTCTTGTAAAATGAGCTTATTAAGAAACACAAGTGATAATAACACAAGAGAAGATCGATTTAACCTAAAAGTACGACCTAAGACGTAAAGGCTACCATAGGCCTAACCTGAGATCAGGCGTTTTTTTTTTTGGTTCTTTGGCTCGAGAGGGAAAAAAAAAAAGACATAAAGGGATAATAGGGAGAGGGCATGATCTCAGGCTACCATAGGCCCAAGGTAAATGCCGAACGTTTAAAAAAATACGTATGTAAATAGATTAGTTTTTAAATACGATGTTTTATGATAATTCTATGTATAGTGATATGTATATTTTTTTAACATTTTAAATCTTTTTATACTTCCTTGTTCTACTGTATTCATCTGAACTTTTTAATCATTCTCTCTTGTTTTTCTTGTAAATTTAATTAGATACGTATTTTTATCTAATGAACAATAAAGACACATTATCAATTATCATTACTATATAGAACCAGGCCTTAATTTACCTTTCGGCGCAGTCGTCGGCATAATCGTCAGCTCAGTCGTTCGCTCAGTCGTCGGCTCAGTCGTCGTTTCAGGTTTCGGGCAGCAGCATCTTCTGTTTCTCCTCCAACAGGAGAACTTATCACAGCACGCTTCAGTACCACTTGGACAGGGTGAACCTCTTTTGATGCACTTGGCCCCTTGGTTCAGTCTCACACAGGTATTGCGCATGCCTGTAAAATAATAAATTAGTGTCTTACACCTACCTTGGGAGGAAGGAGCCTAGAGAAGAGTGGACTGTGTCTACTACCAAGGTTTTTTATTCGATTTTTCAAAACACTTTCGGGAGACAGAACCATGCACTGGGTCTTTCTGCAGGTACCGTCATCACAAAGGAATCAAAGAACCCAAACAATAGAGTTCTCCTCAGGGCTTTATTGTTTGGCTATATTGTTTCTTTTGTTGTGCGTAATCTGTGCCTCGGTACCTACACAGACTGGGAACCGAACCCTTCCACGTCAGCAGCTCTTCAGCTACTTCTGAGGTCTCAGTGGGGTGGTAGCTTTGACTGCTGACGGTTATTTTTCCAATTTTGACGGTTGACGGTTAAATTTAAGAGCTTTTGACATTTTACAGTTATTTAATGGAAATTTAGCCCAAGAGTTTCAGTAAACAAGAACTTTTGTACTCATTTTATTAACTGTCGTGTTTTGGAGGTTGCCTTGGCCTTTCACACACAACCGCTTCGAAACGTTTTTAGATATAAGCAAGTTGTAAGGTGTTGTAATGCCTCTAGAGAGGGTCCCCAATTGTTTTTTTCGGGATTCGGGATTGGAAGTATGTCCATGAGGTAGGATGCCAAAAATAACCCTCGGGATTACGGGATTGCACGAAATTTTGGGTCGGGATCACGGGATTGAAAGTATGGGCTGGAGGCGGGATGCCAAAAATAACCCTCAGGATCCGGGATTTTAAAGCAAAATCGGGGCTCGGTTTTCACAGTTAAGAGATTTATCGGGACCCAGAAGTTCGTAAAGATTAGCTGAAATAGTGAGATTTGAAATACCGTAAAATTCCGAAAATAAGCCCCGGGGCTTATCATTTCAAAGGCCCTTTTTGTGGGCCTTATTTTTGGAGGGGCTTATATCCGGAGGAGTTTATCTAAGGAGGGAAATTTGCGTTTCAAAATCTATAGGGCTAGTCTTACAGTTGGAAGAAAATTTATCGTTTTTGCTTTGTTTTACTTTGTATTTGAGGGCAATTTTCCAAGTACAAGCCGCCCGGGGGGCTTATATTTGGAGGAGCGATTTAACAGAGGGTTTTTGCTTTATCGGTTTGGGGGGCTTATATTTGGAGTGGCTTATACATGGAGGGGCTTATTTTCGGAATTTTAAGGCACCTTGAAACGTTTGGACGGTTTGTTTTACTCTGTATTTTTGACGGTTGAAGGTAAAAAATTAACCTTTTCTGACGGTTGACGGTTAAATTTTAGGCCGTTTGACGTCTGACGGTTAACACCATTGAGACCCTCATTTATTATTCTGAAACATTTTGGCAAACTTCTGTGATTACATTTTCATAAAACTGTCTCTTGTCCATTTTTTTCTTTTCCTGGTCAATTGGCTCGTTTCATCAAGACCTGTGTCGTTAAAAACTCCAGCTAAGTGTCGCCAAAGAACTGTGATGTTGGGCCGAGATGCCAAATTTTGAGCTAAAGACCAGCTAAAAATTTTTCCGTCACTGTTAGTTGTAACTATCTACCAACGAATATTAGTTTTAGTTGCGTTTCTTTCAGTTTCAGAACGCTTAAACTTCAAAGTTTCCTTGTAGGAGTAGCCTTTGGACCCCTTTTGTGTGATCACCTTTACGCCATCCTCGGATTGCAGGATCCTCAACTTCCAATCCTTCTTCATGGTCCGGCGTAGCATAACCCACAGCCAGGATATTAAGAACCACGATAAAAAGCAAATTCATCTTCCAGTCTTCTTTGACGACAGAAAGATTTAAAAACCTGAAACTAAAAGAAGTACGCTCCTTTGTAATCAATAATAACTCTGAGAGGTTTTAACTTCTGTGATTTAACTGGAAAAAGGCCATAAAGTTGTTGTGCACTGCAAGGGTAGATAAGCATCACCCTTAGCCACCATAGCATAAAAAAGTTTAGTATGGTGATATATGTACCTTAAAAGGGAACTTCCTAGACTATGGCCATATGAATAATCTTAGCACCCCTCTGCATAATAGCATTGATAAGTTTGAAATGCCACGCTCGCAGTTCTTTGTTAATTATTAAAGATGATTCTGTAGTTGGCAATTTTGCATCGTGTGACGTGATCGTTATAGCGGCAGTTTCAAGAAACAATTTGCGACAACGGTTTGTATCTCAAGTGCATGCACCTTGATTATTTTCCCTATTAACCTTCAGGCTCTGGCGTTTAAGTCTTTTTGTTATATTTAAAAATAGCTTCACCAGGCTTTTTTCAGTTTCCGATTTTTACAAAACGCCTTTAAAAACAAAAACCAAAACCATACAGCACAGATATTTAGGAATCTGAGAGATAAAAAGAAGATCACATATGCATGCGTCTGGCATAGATTCAGGTCTGTGCGGCTCTTTCATACGCGAGATAGATATTTGAAGCATATTTGCCGGAGAAACTTTTTACCCAAATTTATAGAGCTTTTTACGGAAGAGACCATGTTGGGGTCAATCCGAGGGGGACCAACGTGTCATAATGGGCTTTGCTATGAAAGCAAGAATTAATACATGTATTCAAGAGTTTAGCTTCTTGGCCGCCATTTTAGTCTAGTGTGACCCAAAGGTTTTAACATTCAAAAGTGCTCTATTCACAAAACAAACTGTGCCATCAGAATGAAAACTTCAAAAAAGTTAAGTGATCATATGCTCTTATGATACTTAGGCCCAGTTCAGACGTCGTGCTTCTGCCGTGCCGAACTTAATTGTAATTTGGTTCGACTATAGCACAGCAGCAAAACAACTTTGATTCAGACGTCGTGCCAGAGTCGAACCAAATTCAGGATTTACTGATGCCTCGTAACAATTCTTGTCCCAACTCCCCGTGGGAACGCAATCTCGCCAAAATACATCGATATAATTTATGAATTTTGTTTAGCGCGGCAGAAGCACGACGTTTGAATCGCTGCCGTGCCAGAGCCGTGTAGCACGGCAGCGCTTGTCGAACTTAATTACTTGCCGAACTTAATTCAAAAGTTTGATTCAGACGCCGTGCTTTTGTCGAACTTAATTCGTGAATTTAGTTCGGCACGGCAGAAGCACGACGTCTGAACTGGGCCTTAACAGGCCCCCAAGGATTGATCATGATTCTTAGTTTAAAATTTTGATTACGTCACATGCAAACCAAAAGAGGCAAGGATTTTTACAGAGGGAAAAGAACAACCAATACATTACCTCAAAACACTCTAAAATGATAATCTGTTCAGGTTGTCCTTCAGCAGCATGATGCAGTAATTAAAAAATTAAAATGTTCAAATGAGGCCTCAAACTTAAACTGCTTAAACAAATACGCTACATTCCGCGCGGGAATATCTATTCTATCGCCTCCCAGAACAATGACTATAAAGGCATCGAAGTCAAGATTATTAAGAGTGAAAACGACCCCCAAATCTACGCCTATACGAGGCATTTCTCATAAGAAAATTCAAGCCTACCCTCATAGCGTCTTGACAAGACCTGTTTAAATAGCAAGACCGGTTTTAGAATCTAAGATGAACCGATTGTATCCGAAACAGCCACAAAAGTCATAACAATTATAATGAAATGACAAATGAATTAGAAGTGGCTCAGTTTAGCCAAAGCCACCAAGAATACCATAGTTTTTCACGATGACCAAAATACATAAAACTCTTCCTGTCGGCAGATCAGACCAATCGTCTCTGGTAGCGGTGGCCGCCACAGATCGCACTAGCACTCGCTTTTAAAAGACCAATCGCGCAAAAACAAGAGTTTTACATCAACGACACTACACACTTTATACACCAGGCGCGGATCTACACCGGTTTCGACCGTTTTACGGAAATCGGTCAGATTCTTCGTATAATAAATATATTTTTGATTTTAAAAAAAAACTTTTTAAGATAGATCTGGAAAATGGCTTGGACAGTCAGTGAATATCTAGTCTGAATTACTCAGAAACCCAGGAAAAGGGACTTTAGGGAGTCAAAATTCCAAAAAATTTCCCAAGGGAAATAGGTCAGTTTTCAATGAAAGTGTAACACTTTCATTGAAAACACGCCACTTCCAGGTGAGCTACGTTGGACATGTGTTCTCTCTGCACTAACACTCTCCAAGATGAGGAAATCGAAATCGTTTGTCGCCATTACGAAGAGCATTATGAGTCAAATTTACCTACTTCATATATATTTGGAGGACTTAATGTGACTTATCTTAAGAGAAAACTAATTCAAATTCATGCTTTCTCGGTCATTTTCGTGGCTCACTTTGATAAACAACTACTACATGCGAGCCCTTACAAACCATTTCTCTGGAAGAGATTTAGGCATATTCCCAGTGTGGACTCTTCCTGAAACCGAAATCAACAACTTTAATGATTTCACGAATTCAGCTTTCCGCACAACAATAAATTTTACACTCGAGCTGTCATCAAAACAGATTGTTTTCCTTGACACTGAAGTTTTTAAAGGACCGAGATTCATTCAAACACATTTTGAGACCTCTTAAGCCGACAGACACGTTTCAAAATACGCATTTCTCCTCATTTTACCCTCTCAGCGTTAAGAAGGGCTTTCCATATGGAGAAGCTGTGAGCTCGAAACGTTACTCACAGGATGATCGTTTTAATAATCCCACGTTTAGACAGAAAATTCTTGACGCGCTTTAAGAAGTTTCGCTACAATAATGATGCTCACGACGATAAGGATGTAAACAAAGTTTATTGAAGCGAAGCGATGAGACGTTAACAATGTTGAAAAGAGGCGATGTGAAGCGAAGCGATGATTAGGAGATATAGACGAAGAAAACGATGTACAAAGCGCTTTCGAAAACTAAGAAATAAATACAGCGAAAACTATAGTTAGATTAACTAGAAACTACCTTAAAACTACGAAAACAAACTTTGGATTTCATTAATACGATGCAAAAAGGCTTTATAAAACGTAACATCTCATGCAGAAAGAGAAAAGACTTACTTCTGTGTCCGCTTTAGGGATTTCACAGCGTTGATGTTGAGCCTTACTTTCAGGATCTTAACACGATGACACGTTGACTAGAACTGAAAAAGTTTCTTGAGCACGTTCGACAATGCTAACTAATACAAAGGATAATAGATTTCTTTGTTTGTAAATCGTACGTACGCAGGTATATCCGCGGCAAAAACCACAAATACTATAAGATAATAACGCAAACGAAACTACAAAGGGTTCGATAGGAAATACCTGGGAAATACGAAAAACCAGAAAATATTTGGCGGTAACAGAAGCCTTGCGCTTATTTAGAACAAACTCGGTTATGGAATAATTGGAGTTAAAGAAGAAAGAATTCGTAACTCGCCTTACAGAACGAGGCTACCTCCGGGATCTTGTGGAAACAATCCTAACCGAAGTCCGCTTCGAATCTTCCCTGCTAGCAGAGGTCTCTCACGTCGTCGTGAGAGACCTCTGCTAGCAAACCCAAAACATCAAAAAAGCGTATTTTGCCGTTTGTAACGACTTTCAATCTTGCAACTCCGATTCTCAAAAAGATTCTAAGAAGACACTAGCACCTTATTACAGGCAAAAAACACTCGCGCCAATGTTGCTGATTCCAAGGAAAAGATCTCTAAAAGATTTTCTTGTTAGAGCCAACATAGTCTTCACTTTAACAACAACATTAAAGGAGTTTTATACACGGTTACGGTCGAGTGACAATATTATTAGACCAAAACATGGCACGTAGTTCGCATTATATATCTGGTCCGTGTTTTATGTACACCCAGTCTGCAGTCCGTTGTCCGCAGTTCGCAGTCCGCAGTCCCTCATCTAAAACGCTCTACCCTGCGTAGCGTAAAGCTGCAAGGTTACAACAAAAGCGTACTACCAGTGAAAAAACATTCAGCTCATTTCTTTGAAAACGTCTCGGCCATGATACAGGCAGGTCTTAGATTGCGTTGAGTTAACATTTCCTCTAAAGAAAGCGCGACGAAGACACGGAACCCTCGTTCTCTTCAAGACGACCGCCGCCTTCTTTGCAGTCGCGCACTTCCGGTTTTACCCTCCCCTTCCATAACAGGTATTTTTGGTCGGTTGGCAATTTTGTTGTTCATAAATACGAAAATCAAAAAACGATTTTTATTTTGGATTTCACCAGCAGTAACACTGTCTCTTGCAGAATTTGCTACACATGAATTGCTTTGTTAAGTTTGAATTTTTAATAGCTTGAATCTTGGGAGGAGGAAATTGAAAACAAAAAGTTAAAACCACTAACTGGCCATTTTCAATTTTTAGTTTTTGATTTTCAAAATATTGAAGTATGATGTTCAATTTTACCTTTCTTAGTAACAAACATTGAAAATTGAGATTTTAAGTTTTTGATTTTCACTTTTTGAGGATCAAACATTGAAAATCACGATCGCGAAGTTTTGATTTTCAATTTTCAATATTGAATGAAAATCAAATGGACGAAAACAACACGGACCCCAAATTTCTATTTCCTTTTTTCCTACCTCAGAAAAAAACTGTAACATTATGTTAAGTAAAAACAAGCTGGGCCATTTAGTTTTAGAGTTGAGAATTTAACTAAAACAACGTATACACCTTAACCGGATAGTAAACCGTTTCACTTACCCAATGTGGATGAGCTAGAGCAAGGAGGAGACACAAGCTTATGACAAGCACTTCCTGTTTTCTCACCTACATTTATGTGAATTCCTTTATGGTTAATTCATTACTAACAAATCTAGTAGCATGTACAAAACAATTTTGCTAAGAAACCCTCAGACTTCAAGAATATTGTTAATGAAAAAAGAACAGAATCTAATTTAATGCACTACTTTACTATTTTAATGGGAGAAGCATTAAAAAGATGAAATTGAATTCCGTTATCATTATTTCAGTACTAACAAATCTAATGACATTTGTAAAAGAATTTTGATCAGAAACACTCTGGACTTCAAAAACAAAGTAAATTTAAAAAGAAGAATCAAAAGTGTTGCAAAAACCAATTTTCGTTCAACTATCTAATCTTTCATTCTCATAATGGGAAAAATAATTTAATTCGGTTTTGATTATTTGATTACCAACATCTTTGATAACATAAGTTGTCTATTTGCTTGCGCAACCTAAAAAATGAACTTGTAGTAGACAGGACATTTCCCCTTAGTAAAAAGGAGCAAAACAAGTACTTCGAAGTACTGTATGTCAGAAAGATGAATTTAAAGTATTACCATTTAAATTGCCACTAACAATTCGTTACCAAAACCTCCTTTCACGTGAAAACAAGTACGTTGCTCAGAAACTATTCGGTTTAAAAAAGAACGTGTTCTTGGCAGAAACCAATTATACTGGAACTTTCATCTAACCACCTCCCTTCACAAGTATGTCATGCAGAAAGATGGATTTAATATAAAATATTACCATTTAAATTGCCACTAACAATTCGTTACCAAAACCGCCTTTCAAGTGAAAACAGGTACGTTGCTCAGAAACTATTCGGTTAAAAAAAACAATTATGTCCAGGATCGATCTTGTTAGCAAAAATTTGCTAGCAAATTGTTTTCGCAATTTTAGCAAAAAAGATTTAAAGAAAAACTGCTATCAGAAAAGTATAGAAGAAATAGCAAATGGCGCAAAAATCACAAAAGTAAGAAGAATTTTTCTTGCTATGTGAAAAGCACTTTTCATGGCCAAGAACCCAGTTGGGGGGAAAGATAACGGGTCATAAGGTCCGCGCATTATACATGAATGTTGCGGTGCAATACCCATAGTTTTTTAAACAGGGATTGCCAAAAGTAACAAGAATTTTACTGCTATGTGAGAAGATTTAGTAACAAATATGGCAAAATGCCACAAATTGCGCTAGAGTAACAAGAATAGGCAAGAATTGTTGAAGGGCAAGAAAGGGGCCCAGAACACCCGTGCATCACTGTTAACGTTTTTCCCTAATACTAATGGTTATCTTAACTGGGATACGTTCTTGTCCAGTAACTTTGTAATGCGTTCCATTTTCGCGGAAATGAAATCATCAGTTACAAACGTGACACTATTTATAATTACTGACAGTAGCAAAATACTGTAATATCAATCTTTGTATGCTTCGTTCTTCTATCAACATACAGCTACAATACATAGCAAGGAGTGTCGCTCACAGAAGAGGGCAAATTAAGAAAAATCCTTGTTACTTTTGCGATTTTTGCGATATTTGTGGACATTTCGGGGCCCTTCTTGGCTTCTTCTTTATCTAAGTCTGGAATTTTGTTACATTTGTTATTTTTGCGATATTTGTCACGGGTGTTTTTAGCTAGCAACAAAAGTCCTTGTTACTTTTGCGATTGCTAACAAGATCGATCATGGACATATATCAAAAAAAAGGGGTGACGAATGGTCTTTGCGAGCATTCGCGCGCATGCGAGCACTGCGATTTTTCTTGCGAGCACGAGCAGAGATAAAACATTTGCTTTGCGAGCAGCGAGCAGTTCAGAGAGTACAACTCGCGAGCAGCGAGCACGTCTTATATTTTCCACTTGCAGCAATCTATATGGAAATCCTTTTCTTTAAAATAAAACAGAAAATATTTTAAAAAAACGATGTGATACTCATCGCTAAGTTCAAAGAGATCACTGGACCCTTTATTTTAGGAAAGCTTGCACAAAACCTTAAGAGATCTTCGCCTAAAGTAAAAACACACCGGTACGCAAGCGATCCCGAAGATTGTCTAATATTCAATTACGAGTTCACCGCTTAGGTAGAGAAACATCTTGTGATTGGAACCGTTTGGGAAGTGTAGTTCACAGACCTGAAGGGGCGTTGAGGAAGGGGACATGACTGACGTGGATGAAGAAGAATTTGAAGAGGAACAAGATCCTCGTGTCAGGACAACCTCTTTTGGAAGAATCTTAAGGCTTCCAAACCGTTTTTATTGAAAACACGGCCTAATTAAAGCCCAGTGAGTAGAGCGGTATAGAAACTCAGAAGAACTCAAGGTAACAATACCTTCTCTTTTTAACCATATATAGCTAGATTAGCTTATTTATTATTTACCGTTGTCATTTATTGCGTGCATTTCCACTGCACTTGATAGCCATATTTATAGGAATTAATTAAGCACCATACAGAATTACATTTACTTTGATCCAAAGAAGGATCCACAAAATCTCGAGCAATACTGACAAGAAAGCGAGCATGCAAGCAATTGCAAAAATTTGGGGAGCACGAGCAAACGAGCACTCGTTTAAATTTTGCGAGCAAATCGAACAAAGTTAAAATTTAGCGAGCAGTTAAAAATTTTAGAGGACCATTCGTAACCCCTAAAAAAGAATGTGTTTTTGGCAGAAACCAATTATACTTGATGTTTTAATGAATAACAAAGCTATAATAGAATAAAGTCAATCTTGTTGAAGGGCCGTAATTAGTTTTACAATAATGTGCCCTTCTCCATTCTATTTTTTTTCTTTTTTTTTTCTTATGTACGCGTAGTTTAGACAACCTTGTACTTAACAATTATTCCTTGAGCCCGAATGGGCTGTGAATCAACAGCCCATGAGGCTCCTCCTTCCCGCCGCCGTCTGCAGGTACAGAAACCCTTTTTAACCTTACGGTCTCTAATGATACCTTATAATCAAATCACTTCATGCACTGTACCCATATTACAATGCAAGAGGGCCATTTATAAGAAATATAACGCATTGGAGTTACCTGAGGTTTTTAATAACTAAGGCTTTCTTCTTTACGGATGTCGTGAGAGCTTTTTGTAATAAAAAAACTTCGTGACTTAGTACTAAAGGGATAAGAAATGAATTTTAAAAATTCATCTCTTGATGCCATACGTGTCATGAAAGTGAAAGGAGGTGGTTAGATGAAAGTTCCAGTATAACTGGTTTCTGCCAAAAACACGTTCTTTTTTTAACCGAATAGTTTCTAAGCAACGTACCTGTTTTCATGTGAAAGGAGGCTTTGGTAACGAATTGTTAGTGGCAGTTGGTAATATTTTAAATTAAGAGGCTCTTAGAGGATTTTTTTTTATAAACAGGACATCAGGTTCGAAATCGACTACTTTTTTCTACAGTTGGTTGTTGTTTAAAGGGGGGCTGGGAATGACGAACGACCTAACAGAGGGACGGGAAAACGGAGATTAAAAAAATGGATAAAGGAATTTAAGAGTTTTACTTATTTTATCTATTCACACAACCACTTCATGTAGGGAGTCTGTAAAGTGAGGAAACGGACGGCGGATGGCGGATGGCGGAAAATAATAATAATAAATAAATAATAAATAAATAAATGTATAAGATAAATATATAAGATAGATAAAAAACAAGACAAATAAATGAAAAATAAGAATTTAAAATATTAAAAATATAAATATCAGTTGTGACATCTTTGGATCGTCAAAGAGAAGATAAACAGAGTGGGCAGTTATGTGGCTCGATCGAATGTCACCTCCAACTTTTGGTTGGGAAGAAAAGACTGTATAGTCTGTCGTTTCAATTTGCCTGTGTCGAAGAGAATAGACACTAGATATGCCGCTACGCTGATATATTATCTGGCCGGGAAGTAAGCCGGGTTTTTTTTTATGTTTGCTGTTTTCTTCAACTTATCTTCACTGCTTTAGATCTCTTCCAGATCAACTGACTCTGATAACAAACACACATCAAACAAAACTTACTTTAAAAAGGCGAAAAGCGGGCTTAGCCTCTGGCCCAGATTAATTCAAAACCTGTTTGAAGAGGGGTGACTGGTGAGAGGAGAGAGCTTGAAAAAAGACAAAATAAATATAGTTAGCCTAACTTTAAAGGATTGTTTGGGTCTCAACTTTCAATGGAAATACATATATTTAGTTATCATTATTATTATTATTATTATTATTATTATTATTATTATTATTATTATTATTATTATTATTATTATTATTATTATTATGATTTTCATTTTCATTTTCATTTTTCATTCAATTTAGTCTCACTGTCTTAATTAACAGGGGCGAAAATTCAGAAGGGGGCGGCCGCGACACTTGCCCGTATGTAGATACCATTTATTTTATAAGAATTCTTTAAATGCATTATTTGTCTTCCAAAAAAATTTTATGCGACAATTTAGCCTTACTTAGTTTATGAGTACTGTAATGTGGAAAGAGGCTAGGAACATGGAATCGAGGGTACTGATTTGAATTTTGAATTCAAGATTGCGTCTTTAGGTAATGTCGTATTTATTGATCGTCGTATAATGGATGTCGCGTTCTTGATCTCGTTGACACACAAAAAATCTTTCCTTTTTCCACATTACTGTATTCATAAACTACCATAAAAGCCAAATCGTTGCATAAAATTTTATTTGAAGACAAATAATACATTTATGCTTCAATCTACCCACAAAATGGCAAACCTTAATCAGAATGAAATATATGCTGTGCTCTGTTCGAAAAGGCAATACAAACAACATGATGGAGAAAAATGGCTGTGTGAAATTTTGAACATAGCCGGTTTGTTAAAGTCTGAAAATTCAATACAAATACAAACTCAAACTTTCATTAAACATGTATTGCCAGCAAAGGTGAGGGCAATCAACCGCCAAAGACCTTGCAAAGCAAGGGCACGCCCCACCCAAGCACAAATTTCATTCTGGGTAAAGGTATTACATAATATTAAATATTACAAAAATTGCATCCTGCAAAATCTGTTCAGATCAAATCAATAGTGCGGTTCCAAAGTTGTGCCGCCCCTGCAAGCAACAACATCACAACCTCTGACACATTCAATTAAGAAACAGATTCTAGAGATGTTATTCTAATATACTTTTTGAAAGCGTCAGTTTTCCATCTACCCAAGTGCCTAATCTTGGTGTCGGAAACGCCTTGTTCAGCCGCATAAGTAGCTGAGCACCAATCCTAAAGCTGTTTCCTTTATATCTAGTGGGATCCAACAAGTTGCATAGCGGAATAACTGAGCCAAGCATTTTACTGAAGTCGCTTCTTAAAACTAGGTACCCACCGTGATTAATAAAAAGTGGGCCATGTACTGTGCCACGAACAGAAACATAATCCAAGAATGCTTGAACAGGACATGCTTTAGGTTGTCTATTCAAAGCTATAGGAAAAAGATTTTGATTGTAATTATGTTTATAGCTTGGGAATGTAATTATCAAGGAAACCACATTACCCTTCCCACTATGTTCCCTAGAAACTTGATCCAGTTGTAAAAGGTTACCATTGACACAGTCTCGCTTTGATACTGTGATTTCACCAATACGAAGAAATGCAAAAAATGACATAGCACACGTGGCCTTAAACATAAATAATTCATATTGAGAAACACAAAAAATATCTAAACCTTGCATGATGCGAACTAAAATGGGAAGCGTAATAGGCAACCTTGAGTCCAGTTTACAACCAATCTTACCATACCCTTTTTGGTTTTTGGTAGGATCCCGTAGACCAGTTAAGCGATGGAAATACCCAGGGACAGAAACATAAGTATTTACTGTGGAGGAAGCATATCTACTGTTAAATAAATGTGCAACAAACAATGCCAATGTGGCCGGCAGCACTGGTAAAGAAATGTGTGAGTTCTGAAAAACACTTATTTGAAATTCTTCACAAATAAAGCTTCCATGCCCTACGGTACGTTTGTACTGAAGACTTCTGTAAACTTGCAGATAGAAGATCGTAACTATAGATGCCAGTTTGCCGGGAGTAGATGGGATGGGATTGCTGTTGGCATGGGATCCATGTAAGCTGGTGCTACGATTTTCCTGCAAACGAGACAGTGCATCTGCAAGAGTGTTCTTAGAACCCGAAATATGTTTGGCTTTAAACAAAATATTGTGCTTCAAACAAACGAGCACAAGTTTACACGTACGAACAAAAATCATTAAAGAGGTATCCCTACAGGTAGACTTATTTATCACATGTACTAATGCCTCATTATCAGTAAAGAATGTACAGGGGCGGATCTAGGGGGAGGGTGCAAGGGGTGCGCACCCCCCCCCCGATATGATCTGCGGTTTTCTAATACAACTGGTATTCTGCCAAAAAAAAAATGTGGTTTATTGGTGTTGAAGTAGAGCAAGAGACGAGTGCACCCCCTCCTAAAAAAAATCCTGGATCCGCCCCTGATGTAATACACCTGTCCCTAATATGGTCACTCCACAACATTAAACTCAGAACAATTGGGTAAAATTCCATAATTGCAATCATGATTTTGACCCAGCCATTCCTTAGGCCATTCACCATAGCACCAGTGAGAACCAAATACAGCTCCAAAACCGTGCGCCCCTGCTGCGTCAGTAAATATAACTGTAGGCTCACACTATTTTCCCATTTCTCATTAAGAAAAAATGATTTACCATTGGTTCTTGAAAAAACTTTTGCCAAGTAAACAAATCAGCCTTCACCTCCTTGGAAACACAAAATGGAAAGCGCTTTGTAGAGTATTTACTCACTAGTTTTTGCATTAGAAATCGCACGCATTCTTCCGACACGTCAGAGACAAGTGCTAAAATACCTTACCATAAAGTATTCTATGTAACTGGATCATTGTCTTTGATTACGACAACTAAAGTGTCCTGTTTTCCTATCACAACGTAGGGTTGTGATGTTGGATCCACAAGAGATAACTACAGCTTAAATGCTTCATCACCTTTATAGACTAAATCATTAATCAACCAATTCCTCCAGGTTAACGAATACACGCTGTAACCGGGTAGGAAAGTATACATCTGTGGCAAAATGGAACCAAGGCGATGGTCTTCATTAGTGGCGTTTATATTCTCCACGCTAACCCTAAATGCAAAAATAGAATCCATATTTACAAAATAAGTCCATAAACGAGGATTTAATTTTTGACCTTTGCAACCCTTCATGGGGAACTCGAGATTTTAACTGTCAGTAATAGGAAGTGAAGAAACGAAGGAGTCGTGGATGAGAGGACAACAGAAGTGCCCTCTTTACAATATATATTACATGTTAAAAGTAAGCTCGGACGTCTTAAGCAACTTTTATAGCCCTATATGACTTGATTATTTCAGGTGAAGGAACAGTTAATCTTCACATACATTTCCCTCCAAAAAATGACGCTTAAACCCTTTAAGCCCTAAGGGTGATCAGCATCAAATTTTGCCTCAAAATGTTGCTACAACCACTTGCAGAAATACTTGAGACACTGTACCTTGGCTTGACTGGCCTGCCCGTGATCTTGTGTTTGTTATACCCCCTCCTCCCCTTATCAAAATTGTTAGCAATACAAGACTACGCTCAAAACTTGGAGGAACAATTTTGAATGGAGGGGAGGAGATAGGTGAGCGATTTGAAGTAAGAAAGGTCTGTTTTACGTGGTATTGTCTTAACATTTTTGCAACTGGTTGCAGCTATCATTTATTTGAGTTGGAAAATGATTATGTTGATTATGGTGATGGCAATCATGATGATGTTAACACCAGACGCGGATCCAGAAAATCCAGAAAGGGGCGGCTAGGACTCTTGCCAGCAATATATGGTCCGTCTCAATAAGTGCAGTAGTTTGGTCGAGTGTGTTGATTTCAGTGACTTGAATGGAGCTACTGTGGGCTGTTTGTAAGTTTTTCCGAATAAGTAACATAGACCTAAAATGTTCGTTTGTCCGGTGCCGAAAATATCACAAGTCATGATGAAACGGCGCCGCCGAGCTACACAACTCGGTAGATTTACTTCGTGGCACAACGGCCGTCGAAACTTTCGAAAGATGAACGTTTTGAAAGATTCAGCAAACACAGATCGATAGCAGAACTTCATTAAAGTCTTGAAATACTCAAGTAGTTTAACGCCTGGGACTAAGGGGTTTACCTGTGGAAAATGATTTATTGGCTATAACTTAGGCATAGACGATGGCGCTGAATCAAAATTTGGCACACATAAAGAACTCATTGTCCTTACCATTTTAAAGTATACATATGGTGTCAATAAGTCACGTGATATGTCACGTGATCATTTTGCTAAAAATCGTAAATTATTGACCAATTGGTGGCCGGTTTAAGAAAAGAAATCGAGCGATAACATTTTTCTAATTCATATTAAATATTTCTAACACTTTACGTTTGGAATGGTCATACATTACACTTCAATAAAAAATTATGAGGGAAAACATCATTTTAAATGACCAAATTTAATCTTGAATTGTTTAAAACTTTAATTTTAAAATTCGAGTATATTCATTCCAAACGTAGAAAGTTAGGTATGTTTATCCTCTTTCTGAAATGCTAATTTGTTTATCCAAACAAAGTAAATTCGCCACCAATTCGCCAATTTTCATCATTTTTTATTTTTGGTCACGCGACATGTCACGTGACCAAAATTAAACGTTAAGGCACAAGAAAACCTTAAGATTTACTTTAGGGAAGAAATCATCTTGTTCTAGGTCTCCTAGCGAGAGATATTGCCAATCATTCATATGCTCCCAACACACCTTTAACTCAGGCCTTAAACCCCTTGAGATGTACGCTTTACGAAGATTCAGCAAACTTTTAAAACGAGTTGAACGCTTTACGAAGAGAGAATAAAAGACCTCAGCAAACGCTTGAGGACGCACGAATTTACAAAGCGAGGCAAATGTGTGTCGACGACGACGACAAATGCAATCTCAAAAAAACCTCCCTTTTTAATTGCACAGGCCACCCAATAATGTACAGAACACCCAACACAAATTAGGGGCTGCGTTCTCGTACCTCGAACGCAAATATGTCAGACGGCTTGTAACCTTTAGACAAACATAAAGCTAGTTTCATAATTTAATACGAAAATATAACAGTCAAAATAAGTTCTCTCTCAGTCTTAATTTACAACCACCACATCCACCAAACGAAAAACCCCAAATTAAACATCGATTTTAAAATTTCAAATATTTTCTTGCAGACTATCACTTCACAGGGTTTCGTGTGAATCAAAAGATTAATTAAAAGCTCGTTTACCTTGGGAATGTCTCCAGCTGCGAAGGTAAAACGCAGCTTGTTTTGGCAATGCAAGTTAATTATATTTAGTTATTGCTTATTGGATAATTATTATATGATTCATAATACGAAGGAATAGTTTGCGCACAACAGTTTGGTTTTCGACGGCTGTGGAAGCAGGAATTCGTTCATGTTAACAGTTTATGTTAATGTTTATGCACAACAGTCTGGTTTTCGACAGCTGTGGAAGCAGGAATTCGTTTATGTTTTAACTTTGCTTGCCCAGCTGGAAGAAAAGGGGCTACGTGCAGAGTAATGGAAATCCACACATTATCATTTTCTGGATGAGTCAAGGCTGATACGTAATTTGCTTTGCAGGGAAATAAGGTGCTGTTGTCGTCACTGCTTTCTCTCTTCCTCCTTTTTAGCAGCAGGTTTGCTGAGGCAAAAGGTAAGCTTTGTTGGTCTTGCTTCTGGAAAAATTATGCCTCTAGTTTCATAGATTTTTAGCATGTAGGTGAATATTAGTAAATAACTTCAAAATCATATTTATCTCTTAACAGACACTTGTTAGAGAAAGACACTTATAGGGACCTATAGACCTAACGACGGACGTTTCCAATTCGGTGTTGGCCTCAACGGGGTTCGTTTCAGAAAGAGTTCATTCAAGTGATTTAAGACTCGCTTGCAAAATATTTTTCTATAAAAAGACACAAAATTTTAGTGAAATGTTTCAAGGAATTCAAGAGTAACTCGAAATTAAAGGACCAGCTGGCTAGGTCACTCAATTGCTGGCTGCAATTTTAGATTTGACCACAAATCAACTGAGATCGACACTCAAATGAAGTGTAAAAGAAAGGAATAGAAACGCAGTAAAGAAAAAGAAAAAAGAGAAAATTTTATTGTTTTATTGTTTTATTATCTTTATGTTATACACACAAAATATACAT